TTTTTTTTTTTTTTAAATGTATGAAATTTATTGTCAAACTGGTTTCCATACAACACCCAGTGCTCATCCCAAAAGGTGCCCTCCTCAATACCCATCACCCACCCTTCCCTCCCTCCCACCCCCCATCAACCCTCAGTTTGCTCTCATTTTTTAAGAGTCTCTTATGCTTTGGCTCTCTCCCACTCTAACCTCTCTCTTTTTTTTTTCCTTCCCCTCCCCCATGGGTTCCTGTTAAGTTTCTCAGGATCCACATAAGAGTGAAAACATATGGTATCTGTCTTTCTCTGTATGGCTTATTTCACTTAGCATAACACTCTCCAGTTCTGTCCACGTTGCTACAAAGGGCCATATTTCATTCTTTCTCATTGCCACATAGTACTCCATTGTGTACATAAACCACAATTTCTTTATCCATTCATCAGTTGATGGACATTTAGGCTCTTACCATAATTTGGTTATTGTTGAGAGTGCTGCTATAAACATTGGGGTACAAGTGCCCCTATGCATCAAAGATAAAAGTTTAAACACAAGAAGTGAACAGCCAGTTTGATCCTATTTATTTTTTTTGGGGGGGGGGATCTATACAGCAAGCATTTCATCAAATATTATTTCTATTCATGAATTATCAAAAATCTATTGTATAGAGTGCTCAGAATTAAACTATAATAAAGTAAGTATCTTCTCTAAGAAACAGTAAAAATCAAGTCATTTAATTTCTATGTCCCTCAGTTTCATCAGGAATTCAGTCAAACTATACATCTTTCTAAATCTCCTTCTAGTTCTAAAATCCTACACAGAAGAGTCTGCTTAAAAAAAAAAGGAAAAAAAAGGCATAGTATACATGTACAATTAGAAATATTTTAATATTATATGTATTTCTAAATTAAAATGCCTCTTATGTAAAATAAAGCAAACTACTATCTATAAACAGATTTTGCTCACTTACCTCAAGATTTTGACATTCCTGAGCAGAATTGGTAGGCAGGCCAATCCACTTGATTTCTTTTTTTTCCTTTGAAATTATGTTCATTGCCATTAGCACATTTAAAGCATCATAAACTCTTCTCCTAATATTCTTCTGGTCATAGGCCTGCTAAAAAATAATTTTTAATGAGTGATAAACTTCAAGGGTTAAGATATAGTCACAGGATATTAAGATATTTAACTAATATTATTATTATTGTACCTTCAGAGTGCTTAAAGAATTCCATAGCCAGTGAAATACCCTTCAAAAGTAAAGAAGAGATAAAGATACTTCCTAACAATCTAAAACATAAAACAATCTCAAAAATAAAGATTATGACACCCACAGATCTAAATTAAGAAACACTAAAGGGCCTTCTTTAAGCAGAATAAAGACGGATAGGATCTAAGATGGGAGTTTGGAGACACAGTATGTGGAATGAAGACCACTTGAAAGGTAAATCTGTGGGTATATCTCAATTAACCTCATTGTATAAAACAATGCGTCTTGTGGAATCAAGAATATATATAGAACTAACATACATGACAACAGTATGTATATCAGAGGGGTAATGTTAAAGTGGGCTGAAACCCTGCATTGTCTGGCAGGATATTAGACTCTGAAAAGAATGCATGTTTCAAGCTCTAGGTGAACAGTGCTTTCAAGTATGTGGTCCAAGGACTAGTACTGATCTGCAAACTGTTACTAGTCTACAATGAAAACAGGGAACTTGCACAAAACATCATTACATAGAGCACTAAAACACAGTTTACTTCAGCTGATTTTTTGTTTTGTTTTGTTTTGTTTTTAATGGCAGCAAGATTTTCTCAGTGAAAGAGACTGTTTCAACTTAGACTGTGGAAAAAGTCCATTTTATTGTGGACAAGCAGTTCCTAAGAACAAAATCCAATCAATCAAATGCCATGATAATAAAGGATGCTGGAGTACACTGAATCCATTTAAGTACAGAACTAAACTTATATAAATAGGAGATTAAAGTTATAGAACTGAGTGTAAATATTAGAATTCCTGACACTGTAGGGGCACCTGGGTGGCTCAGTCACTTAAGCATTTGACTCTCGATTTCAGCTCAGGTCATGATCTCATGGACCGTGAGTTTGAGCCCCATGTTGGGCTCTGTGCTGACAGCGTATAGCCAGCTTGGAATTCTGTCTCTCTCTCTGCCCCTTCCCAGCTTGTGCGCGCACTCTCTCTCTCTCTCTCTCAAAATAAATAAATAAACTTAAAAAAACCCTGAAATTCTGACACTTTAGAAATAACAATAATATTGGGGCGCCTGGGTGGCTCAGTCTGTTAGGCATCGGGCTTCAGCTCAGGTCATGATCTCGCGGTCCGTGAGTTCAAGCCCTGCATCGGGCTCTGTGCTGACAGCTCAGAGCCTGGAGCCTGTTTCAGATTCTGTGTCTCCCTCTCTCTCTGACCCTCCCCTGTTCATGCTCTGTCTCTCCCTGTCTCAAAAATAAATAAACATTAAAAAAAAAATTAAAAAAAAAAAGAAATAACAATAATATAGTAAAAAATATGAGGAAGAGGCAACAAATTAAGTCTGCTTATGTTCTCCTTGATATTTTAAAGGGTTTGGGATTCAACACAGATGAACTATTCAGACAGATGAACTAAGTAATAATAGAGGTTTGGCACAATATATTCATTTAAAGTCATAATAACAACCATAATAATATTATTCTTTTAACAATTATCACGAATATAGTCAATCTGAATCCTGTGGTAGAGAGGAAAAATAGGAGATATAGTACATATAAATATATTAACTTTTTCCTCTCTATAATCAACATACTGGTACAGGTGATAACAAACAAAAGAAATAAAATATTGAAGTTACTTAAAGTCATAAAGATAATCAACTAAAGAACTAAAGACTACAAATCTTCCAAATTATCAAAAAAAATAATGCAGAAGGGAAGAGAAAAAAACCCAACCCTTGCTTCTATTCAGGGGTGGGGATAGGGATGGTTAGTAAAAATGTTGATGATGAAACATGCTAAGAAAAAATGCCTCAGTACAGTGACATCTGAGTGAAAACTGGAGGAGAAAAACCATATGGTTCCTTAGCAAAGAGATTCAGACAAAAGAAATAGCAAGTGTAATAGTCTGATAAGGAGCATATCTGGCATAGTCACCCCAAAACAAAAAAATAAAAAACCCACCAATCTCATTCATGACCAGTGTAAAACTCCTAAATTTTCAGGAAATTATACAGAATTTGATTGAATTCAATATCCATTTCGGATTTGTTTTAATTAAGAAAAATGAAAGAGGGGCGCCTGGGTGGCTCAGTCGGTTAAGACTTTGACTTCAGTTCAGGTCATGATCTTGCAGTCTGTGAGTTCAAGCCTCACGTCGGACCCTGTGCTGACAGCTCAGAGCCTGGAGCCTGCTTCAGATTCTGTGTCTCCCTCTCTCTCTGCTCCTCCCCCGCTTATGCTCTGTCTCTCTCTCTCTCTCTCTCTCTCTCTCAAAAATCAATGTTAAAAAAAAAAAGTTTGTAGAAAAATGAAAGAAATGTTACGTATGCTATAGTGTAGTAACTGAGATGGTGCATAGTAGCAGATGAGATCAGAGAGGTAATGGTGGGCCAGGTCACATAGGGTCTTGTAGAACATTTTGAGAACTTTCACTTTCACTCAGAATCAGAATGCCATATATCTTCTCTACAGATGCCAGAGAAAAGAAACATCTAATGGCTCACAAGAAAAATCTCAAAGTGATCCAAAAAATATAAATAGTTCCACTCACAGTCTCTGAACACAGGTAATAAAAGTGAAAATTCAGACAAACAAACAAAATTCCCTATCACCTGGAACTATAAAAATTCTAATGCCATTCTTAGGTCAGAGAGGAAATTAAAACCAAAGTTGCAGAATATCTAAAGTATAACATTATATCAGAATCAATGGGATATGGCTAAAGCAGCGCACAAGGAAAAGTCACAGCCATAAAGATTTTCATTACTAAACAAAAATAATAAAAGTAAATAAAGTATACATCAGAGTCTACAGGGTAGAAAAGTAACAAAAGTAACTTCAGGAAAGAGAAGAGAATATTAAATGAAGATTAAAAAAAAGAAATTAACTGCAAAACAGGAGGGTCAGTACAAATTCAAGAGATGGTTTGTTGGGAAAAATAACTGCAAATAATTAAAAAAAATTTTTTTTAAATTACTGTTTATTTACTTTTGAGAGAGTGAGACACAGCATGAACCAGGGAGGGGGAGAGAGAGAGGGAGACACAACTGAACTCACAAACCTCAAGATCATGACCTGAGGTGAAGTCGGAAGCTTAACTGACTGAGCCACCCAGGTGCCCCTGCAAATAATTTTGAGAACACGAATGAAATGGAAGATTTCCTAAGAATATATAAAACACCAAACTGAATCTAAGAGAGAAAGAAATTTTTTTAATGCTTATTTCTTTTTGAGAGAGACAGAGTGTAAGTGGGGGAGTGTAGAAAGAGAGGGAGACAGAGAATCTGAATCAGGCACCAGGCTCTGAGCTGTCAGCACAGATCCCGATGTGGAGCTGGAACTCACAAACCGTGAGATCATGACCTGAGCCGAAGTTGGAACCTTAACTTACTGAGCCACCCAAGTGCCCACAACTGAGTTTTTAATAGACATGTTCATGTATTATTTTTTCAATTAAAAACAAGACAAAATTTTCTGATTGACTTGGACACAAAGAAACACCAAAGGACTCAGAAACATCTCCAAAGTCATTCAAATATAAACGTTTCTTTTGTAACCCCCAAAACTACGTTTTAAAAATACATGTTCATCTTCATGTTTAAGTATATAATAAAAGAATCCTTTCTAAAACAAAACAAACAAAAAGTCAACAACAAAAGAACTCCCCAGAAGACAATATGAAACCCTCAAGTAAAGGAGTTGGGGATTCCCTAGCTTGTCCGAGTCCTTAAATCAAGGACATAGTCACCCCAGAGATACACTGTTTCATCACTCATCACATCAACGTCAAGGGAATGATCTACCTACCGAATCAGCTGCCAAATGGTTATTTGAATTGGTGAACTCTGATACCAGCTCATCAGCCACTTCATTATATGATGTTGTACCTTTCCGCTGAACTTTCTCACACACTTTCATGGAAAAATGTCTCAAGCCTTTTCCATTTTTATCTCCTTTTTTGCTTCGTTTACTAAAAGAGAAAAATATATTTATACACCAGACTTCCTTTACAAAAATATAAAGTAATGTGAGAATATAGTAATTTGATGTTTGTTTCAAGTGGTAAATTTTAAAGAATTAAAAAAAATTTTTTTTGTTTATTTATTTATTTTTGAGAAAGAAAGACACAACGTGAATTGGGGAGGGGCAGGGACAGAAAGAGACACAGAATCCAAAGCAGGCTCCAGGCTCTGAACTGTCAGCGTAGAGCCCGATGTGAGGCTTGAACTTGTGAACTGCGAGGTCATGACCTGAGCCGAAGTCGGACGTTTAACCAACTGAGCCACTCAGGTACCCCTCAAGTGGTAAATTTTAAACTGAATTAGAAATGAAGAAACGTTTTTGAACTTACAATGTTATATATAAACTTATAATGCTTTTGCCTTACAAGCTTAATAAAGTATGAAGTTAGAGTGCTTTTCTACACACATCATTCATTTATCAACAAGTATTTACTGACCAGTAACTTACTATTATGTGCCAGGTACTGTTCTACACACTAGGAATAAATCCATGAAAGGAACAGACAAAAACACTGCCTAGCCTAGTAGAGTTTACATGCTTACCTTTTGGTATTCTATGTATGCTACAGTTCTATTTCACCTAAAATTAAAAGTACCACTTTCATCAGTTTCATTTATCTACTAAATTTTCAAACAGAGGTCATACTATTAATAACAGATCTAAGTCTTCAATTACTTTAAGTTTGGTTAATGCCTAGGCCCAAACTTTGATAACTTACTAACATTTTCAGGGGTTCAATTTAATTCTACTAATTTCTGAGTGCCAACTATATGCCAAGAACTGGAATAAGGACTAGAGCACACAAACGACAATTGAGGCAAAATCTTTTCTCTCAGTACTGAGTCTTGGCAGACGGGAGAAAGACAAAACAGACCTAAAAGGACAGAGAATTCCAATATAGTAAGGTAAGTGCCACGTCAGTTACTTACAATGTTCATGGGAATTAGGAAGAGGGACACCTCATCTAACCTAGAGGAGGAAGACTTGCTGGGGTAAAAGCCAAATGAAAACAATAAACAAAATGAAAAGGCAACGTACGGAATGGGAGAAAATATTTACAAACCCTTTATCTGATAGGGGGTCAATATCCAAAATATCTAAAAAATTCCAACAATTCATTAACAAAAAAACCCACACATCCAAATTAAAAAATGGGCAAAAGACATGAATAGAAACTTCTCTGAAGAAAACACACAAATGGCCAACAGCTATATGAAAAGGTGCTCAACATTGCTAATCATCAGAAAGCTGTAAATCAAAACCACAATGAAGTATTATCTCACACCTGTTAGGATGGCTATTTTTAAAAATTGACAGAAACAAAAGGTAGGTGTTGGTGAGAATATGGAGAAATTAGCACCCTTTTACAAATGGAAAATGGTACAGTTGCTATGAAAAAAGTATGAAGGTTCCTCAAAATATTTAAAATAGAATTTCCATAAGATCCAGAAATCCCACTTCTGGGTATATATCCAAAAGAATTGAAATCAGGATCTCAAGGAGGCATTTGCACTCTCCTATTCACTGTAGCATGATTCGCAATAGCCAAGATATGGAACCAACCTCAATGTCCATAGGTAGATAAATGGATTAAAAAATATGGTTTATACATACAGTGGAATATTATTTGGCCTCAAAAGAGAATGAAAGCCTGCCATATGCAGTAAACAAGGATGAGCCTGGAGGACATTATGCTAAGCCAGTCACAGAAGGACAAATAATGCATGATTCCACTTGTATAAGGTGTCCCACACAGTCAAACACATAGAGGCAAAGAGCAGAATGGTGCTTGCTGGAAGGAAAGGGGAAATAGGGAATTGCTCAACAGGTATAAAGTTTCATTTACGCAAAATGAGCAAGTTCTAGAGATCTGCTGACACAACCTAGTGTCGGTAGTCAATGATAATGTACGCTTACAAATTTGTTAGTGGTAAATCTCATGTTAAGTGTTCTTAACACCAGCACCAGCACCAGCAGCATCACCACAAAGATAAACATGCACTTGATCATGTTCCACTAGTATAATTATATTCACTTATAAATTATTTACATGTTCTGTGTTACATACCTTAAGAAATAGACTAAATGTATTTTTTAAAAGAATGAAGTAAGGATATCTACTTTCTTTTTCCCAAATTCCCAAAGAATCACGTGGCCATTCACTGTGGTCAGACTACTGCTGAAATACTGGGAAGACATTAAAGGTGTTAAGTGGGGGAGTGACACAGTGAGATTTTTAGTTAGGCAGAGATTCTGGCTGCAAAGTAGAAGATGCACTTACGAGGGGCAAGAGCAGAGACAGGAAGAACAGTTGAGAGGCAAGCCAGGCAAGAAATATCAAGTCCTGAAACTGGGGCAACTGGTAGGGCTGGATAAGAAGAGACGGCTTTGCATAAATTTTAAAGATAAAAATCAGTAGAAGGAAGTGACTGATGTGAACGGTGAGAAAGAGGGAAATAAGAGAATGACCCTCAGGAAGAGGCATCATTTACTGAGATCAAGGAGACATGAACAAGTTCATGAGTTCCATTTTAAACCTGCTCATCTGCACAGTCCAATACCTAGGTATACTCACATGCAGCTACTGAGCACTTGAAATCTGGGAAGTCTGAATTGAGATATGTTTTAAGTATCAAATACACACTGAGTTTCAAAGCTTGTATGAGAAATCAATGTAAAATATCTGAGTAACCTTTACATTAATTAATGTTGAAATATATTTTTTTTTTTTTTTTTAAATTGTTTTTATTTTTTATTTTATTTAAAAAAAAATTTTTTTTTTCAACGTTTATTTATTTTTGGGACAGAGAGAGACAGAGCATGAACGGGGGAGGGGCAGAGAGAGAGGGAGACACAGAATCGGAAACAGGCTCCAGGCTCTGAGCCATCAGCCCAGAGCCCGACGCGGGGCTCGAACTCACGGACCGCGAGATCGTGACCTGGCTGAAGTCGGACGCTTAACCGACTGCGCCACCCAGGCGCCCCTATTTTATTTGTTTTTTAAGGTTTATTTTGAGAGAGAGAGAGATTGTGGGTGAGCGGGGGAGGGAGGGAGAGGGGGAGAGAGAGAGAGAGAGAGAGAATGTCCCAATAGGCTCTTGACGGTCAGCACAGAGCCTGACATGGGGCTCAAACTCATGAATCATGAGATCATAGCCTGTGCCAAAATCAAGAATCAGACACTTAACTGACTGAGCCATCCAGGTGCCCCTGAAATATAATATTTTAGATACACTGGATTAAATAAGAGATATAAAAATTAACTTCAGGGGTGCCTGGCTGGCTCAGTTGGTAGAGCACGCAGGTTTTGATCTTGGGTTTGTGAATTCAAGCCCCATGTTGGGTGTAGAGATTAAAAATAAAATCTTGTCCCGAGATCATTATTACCCTATATATTAACTAACTTGGATTAAAAAAAAAATTATCCAGACACTAAAAATAAATAAATAAAATCTTTAAAAAATTAATGTCATATTTTTTATTTTTTTAATTATTATAAAATTAAAAGTCACATGTGTCTCCTATTACATTTCTATTGTGGGGCACCTGAGTGGCTCAGCTGGTTAAGCGTCCGAGTTTCACTAAGGTCATGATCTCACAGTTCATGAGTTCGAGTCCTGTATCAGGCTCTTCTGTGCTAGCAGCTCAGAGCCTGGGACCTGCTGCGGATTCTGTGTGTGTTTCTCTCTGTCCCTCCCCTGCTAGTGCTCTGTCTCTCTCTCAAAAATAGTAAACATTAAAAAAAAAATCACATTTCTATTGGTCAGCAATGATACAGAGTCTGACATGTCAAGAGAATTTCCCAATCAATATATTAAATAGATAGTTAAATATGCAAGTCTCACTTTGTAAGTGAGCTTATAGGATAGGTCACTTACAAACTTATCAGCATGTGTACCATGCCAACCTTCTTCCTATCAGTCTCAAAGGATTAGGTATTCCTCTTTGTTTTTAAATCTAAGCTCCTTTTTTAAAGATAACAGCTTTATTGAAATATAATTGACATACCATAAATTCCATTTTTTAAAGTATACAATTCAGTGGTTTTTAAGAATTATGAAACCATCACCACAATCTAATTTCTTCACCCTAAGAAGAAATGCTGTACCCACTGACAGTCATACCTCACTCCCTAGCCCCTACTATTCTACTCTCTGTTGCTATGGATTTGCCTATTTGCCAAAGTCAACTTTTCAACTTGAGTTTTTTCACTCCAGTGCTTCTGTTTCTGTATTTGCTCTCCTTTGAGCTGTTCTATCCAGTGTTTGTTCTTAATATATAACTTTATTGTGAACCTGGAATCTGATAAAGACTTCAGATCCAACTGCCACTTTAAAGGTAATACCAAGGACAGAAGAACAAGTTAAATTACACTACAGGGATGCAATAAGCAAACTTTTTTTTTTAAGTGTATTTATTTTGAGAGAGAGAGAGAGAGTACACATGAGTGTGAGCAGGAAATAGGGCAGAGAAGGAGGGAGAGAGAATCCCAATCTGTTTAGCATGGAGTCTGACGTGAGGGGCTCATCTCAGGAACCGTGAGATAATGACCTCAACCGAAACCAAGAGTCAGATGTTTAACCAACTGAGCCACCCAGGTGCCCCAGTAAGCAAACTCTTTAGGCTTTCTCTTTAGGATACATAAAGTGATTTCTTCAATTAAAAATCTGTAAGGGAAAAAAAGAGGGAGGGAGGGAGAGAGAAGGGGAGTTAGGGGGGAGGATAGATACAGAAGGGGAATCTACAGATTTTATAAGACATATAAATTTATTTCAAATAGACTGTAACACACACACACACACACACACACACACACACACACACACACACACCAGTTATAGGGGACTCTGGGAAAACAGCAATACCAGTATAGTTTTCAAACTCTCCAAATCCCCATATAAAAAGAGAACAACTACACAGCAAAACCAAAACTCCATGATAGCACTC